ATGTAAGAACTGTAAAAATTCTAAAAATGTGTTGTAAATGTTGACATTTTGATGAAGTTCATCTGCAAAATTCTGTCTCATTTAATATTTTGGATTCTGAATATTTTTATGGGTAGTTGACCATCATATTCTAACAATTTCAATATTAGTAGCTTTTTGATTAATCTTAACATTACTGTGAAGGTACTTCTATCAAGGTGAATGCCTTTTATCTCTACATTTTGTGACATTTCTAATAGCTAAATGTTATTTCCATTTATAAATGAAAGACCTTGACTAGCATAATCTGCCTCCTGAATCTCAAAAGGACGTTGTTCCCGTATTCTAGTTCTGTTCCCCTTTGCATTAACTACAAATGTCACTACAAATGTACCAATTATACTTTTTCCTCATTGCTTAAAGAATGCTTCTGTTAGTAATTTCAAATGCTTTGCCCTGCATAAAATTATGCATTTAGTACTCACCTTTATGCCTGTAGGTAAAAATCTTGAATGATTGTATACAAAGGTAGTCTGGGCATTTTTCTGTTTAACCATTCAGTATTGCAGGTAGTTGCAGTGATTAATTGATTTTAGCAAGGTTTCCCTGCCTGCTGCTGGGATATAAACCAAATTCTTGCTTTATGGGTTGAACTACTGCTTTGGTTCTGATTGCTCAGCATGGCCAAGTGAAGGAACAGATGATAATGAAATAAGGTGATGGCTCACGGGTGTGCTCTGGAGTTTGTGGCAGTGGTCAAGTAAGGAAACAGACAGGGTTAGGAATGTTTAGGAATGTGGATGATGGGGCATCCTGTGGTTGTAGCCAGGCATCTGTGTTGTGATGTAGAGTTTAGATTAGATTATGAAGGGGTTTGTTTGAAAGGTTTAGATTGTATTGCTTGTTATGCTGCCTAGTTTTGATGCCTTTGTTATCTTTGGGGTACATGGGCTTGTTCTGAGGCTTTTACTGCTTGACAGGGCAGGAGATAGAGTTCTTTTATAGGTTATAGCAGAATTTCTGGAGGAAAAGTAATTGAGGAAATGGTAATTTTTAGAATTAAAAGCAAAACAGGTTTTTTGCTTCCCAGTGACTTACAGTGTCTCCTTAATTGTGCATAAGGCAAGAACAAGGCTGCAGTCCAATATAACTTTTTCTCTAAGGGAGTAGGAAGGAAAGACACATGGAAAGACAATTGAAATTCACAGTATTTCACAATAGAGATGACTACAGCAGTGGAAAGATGTACGAATGCTTATACAAACTATTGGGTTTTTAAGTGAAAGGAGAACTGCTTTTTATTAACAAATTATAAATTGTCTCTTGAATGAGTAATTTCATTCCTCTTAGGTGGGAGGCGTGGGGATCAAAAATCCATCTTCTTTACAACTGTAGTGAGAAAACTGGGACTGGGTTTTCTGAGATGCTCTTTTGACAATTTCCATTACGTCTGGAGGCGATGAATTTTGAAGATTATAATTTACTATTCATTGTTATGTTAACATGCAGAAAGTTTACTTAGTTTTAGCTTCCTAGTGAAAAAATTTAGTTGGTTAAATACTTAACAATTTTTAAGCTCTTTGTAGTATTGTGGAATTGTAAATATTTCATATTTTTTCTGAACATTGCTTACATTTTTGTGATAAATGTGAGCAAAGGAAACCTTTTTAAATATTTATTTAACACCATCCTAATTTCTACACATTTTTGAGCTGCAGAAGAAACAATAAAGAAAGTAAGGAATCTTTAACTTGCTAATGTTTTTCAGATGTTTCATTCTATAAAAGGAAGTTTTACTGTAAAATTGTAAGGAACTGTTGTCTGCTGATTTATTGTGCTTGTAGAGCTGATACAATGAGAGCCTTCCTGCTGGCTATGGGGATGGTTTTTGAAATAGTTTTAAGCACAACTTCTTAGTACTAAGCCTGTGTTTAACTTAGGGTCAAGTTCTCACTGTAATTGCTAGTGTTATTTGGTACAATATGCTTGTTGTGGCTTTTAACCTATGTGAAAGCCTAATTGGTTAGTGAAAAACAATGTACAAGTTGAATCTTAAATCTTAAAAAAAGAGTTCAGAAATGGCTGCGAAGTTGAGTGATTTTATATTAAAACCTTTACAAGAAAGGGTTAGCAGTCTCCATTGCATTTCTCTTTAAATAGAAGTCCTCTGTGCAAAACCTGCAACCTCCTACCACTACTTTCTCCAGACGAAATTTAGACTGTCAGCAGATGTGCTTAGAAGAAAACAGACATGTAAAGTGTATTGTGTCTGCCACTAAGTAATCCTTTGAGGCTTGGGTATTCTTAAGTGTCCCTTCAATATTTTTCTTATGCTCCATAATTCACAACAAAATAACTGCACTGCAAGTGCATGTTTTTTGCTTTTTATTTGTGATTTGAAATCTTTGAGAACTCCTTGTTATCATGTTTTTGTTTGTTTTGGTTTTTGTTCTGTTTTGACATTGGGAGTGCACTGACCATTCTTAGAGCTGAGCTTACCTTGTATTTGCTGCCAGAGTCCCCATGGTCAAATTATGTCTTCATAATCAATAATTGCTCTTTCTTCTTAAATACTGTGCATCTCAGCCAAATTTGGTCTCATATTGCTTAAATGACCACGAAATACTATAACACTCCATAGGAGTTAAGTCTGAACATTTATGTTAGTAACTTTAATGTGGCTAAATGTCTTTCTTCTATTTTAAGTTAATATATTTGCTGTGGTTTTAAGCTGTTGTAACAAAGCATGGCTTTTAATACAACTAAGGAATGGATCAAGGTCTGCAAGCATCTGTGCAAGCATGGGTACTATTTCTAACTGTACTGAATGCAAGATGCGAGTCTTTTTGCAGTTATTTTTCTTTTTTTTTTTCTCTTTTGGTGCTAAATATTCGCTTAATGCCAGTGCACATACAAGTAAACTTGTTTTAATTGGTGGAAGAAGACGTTAAAACTCATTAAGACAGATTAGAATGGTGGTGTGAAGGGCAGGGAGGAAGGATTAGGGACTTCCTAGAGTTTGCTTGAAGGCACTAAACAAGGATCCCCATCTTTCCAAGGCAGTAGGTGGGCTGGGATGTGTCAGCTGCATTGAGGTTGCAACTGAGCAGCTCTTACCTAGGTGGAGGAGAAAAGAAGACAACATTCAGTGTAGGAAGTCTGATGGTAGGACTTGAGATGCTTGGGTTTTGAATACTTCTTAGGTTGATTTGAGTTTCTAATGGGCTCCTTTTGGAAATTGGTAATTGCTTGGTTGGATAACTAGCTGTTAGTTTAAAAGGAAATTCTGCCTTGTTAAGTTAGTAGCAGCAAGTCTTATCTTCCTTTGTCAAGTGTTGCTTCATCTCAGTGAAGCTTTATTTCCATCTGCAAGAGCTCGGGATCTTTGCTTCATACGAGAAAGACTCTATTACCTTATCATTTTGTTGTCTTACTAAACTGGGGGTGGGAATATGATACTGCTGAGAATGTCAAAGCTGAAGGATGCCTCATGTTGGAAGCTTTTCTGGCTTTAACTTTATGTCAGTGTGACTGGAGTAACACCAGAATTGTAATACTCTTCATGGTGACTATCCAGGTTCAATACTCAATGTAGATCTGTTTTGACTCAGTCTCTTTCTGATTTCTTTTTGGACATTTAATGATGTCAGACATGCAAATCGACCAAAATGATTCAGCCAATTTTCTAGAAGGTATACGGGGAAAAACTTTCTGTTCATAATGTTTTCAAGTGGAACCTACAAGACTGTGAATATCTTTTATTTTAAAAGCCCTAATAATTCATGGCCTGAAGGAAATATATAAGCATTTTTCAGGTGGTGTCTTCTGTTAGGACAACTGTAAGGCCACACTTCTGATGGAAAAATCTGTTGAGATTTGGCCTTTTCAGTGTCTCTGAAAAATGCAGTGAACCATAACAATACCTTACTGCAGGAAGCTAATTGTGACTGACTGTTCTAGCGAGGCAGGGACAGGAACTAGGAAAACTTGCCAGTTTACTTTGGCACCTGACTTTCAAGGTTTTTTAATTCTTTTGTAGACAGCATATAAAAGATGCTGAACACCAGTGGGCCTGGAAAACCCGTGAACTGTTGCCAGAGCTAAAGATGAGACGAGGAGATGAACTTAAGCAGGATTTGACATGTTAGGAAAAGTGATAATGGGTCATGGCAAAGTGGGCAAATAATAAAATAATGGGGAGTTTCAGAAAATGAGAATAACTTGGGCCACAGTTTGGTCTGAAGTGGACAGAAGGATTTAGTCTCAGACATGTGAACTCACATTAAAATAACAGGGTACACAATCACTTCTATTTATTATTGCTGCCATTACTCAAGTGACAGTTCAAGCATCAGAGGGTTTTGGTGTGTGTATGTGTATATATATATATAATTCCCCATTGTGAAACCTGGCATTTATGTTTTAACTTCTTAGGTATTTTGATTGCAAAAATGAAACCTAAAACTTGTCAAATGTTGAAAAGAAAGCAAAACCACCACAAAAAAAAAATTAAAAGAACTTTCAATAGAGGTCAAAAAGCCAAGCACTCATCAGTGTGGGTAGGTACACTTGCAAAATCAAAATCTTCAATTGCCTCATCTGCCTGTATACAAATTTCCACTCCCAGTGATCCTTTTGAAATTCAATGTGTAGAATGGGTAGTGCGTCATTAGCCTCGCTTTATTCTTTAGAGAGCGGAGTAGATAAACAAAAAACAATGAGATTAAGGTTACCAAGGCAACTTTAATTTTGGCAATGCCTAATTTTTATTTCTTGTTTTAGCAGCCTTAATGAGCTGAGGCTTTGAGTTTTTTTAATTCAGCTTTTATTTTATGATGTGGAAAATACAATGGGAATTTACCTTAATATACTAAAATAAATGACTAGAAATGCTGTCTTCCTTAGCAGTATATACTGCTGTATGTTCTGAGTTACTTGGTTCTACATTGCTATACACCATGTATGTGCCATACTGTACATAACATGAAGGTAAAAATTCACATATTTCTTCCTTGGGTCGTGTAATATACAGAGCCTTTAGAGTTACTGGCTTCAGCTCCATCACAACATCCTGACATGTGTTGGTGGTGTCTTGACTGAACCATGCTGGTGTACACTGAATTGGAGAGTCAGGTAAATGTTTATTTATGCTTGAATACAGCAAATGAAAAAAGCAATAAGATTCTTAAATATTTTTTAATCTGTGCATGGTCACAAAACTGGCAATTTATCCTCCCTTTTCTCTTAGTCACTAGAGACTCTAGAATCCAACAGTATTTGTAATGTGATGCTTGCTGTGTCATCATATTAAAAGGAATGGGCAGTTTAATAAATAAGGCTTGGTGACACTGGATGAGGAAAAAAGTCTTAATTTTTCTTTCTGTAAACAGCGGTCTGCTGAAATGTCTCACATTATCAAGTTCTGCTTTTTACAAATTATCTTCAGAGTTGGTACAACTGTTTTGAGATTTGATTTATTTATATAACAGTTAACATCAGCCTTTATATCTTGTTTATAAGCTTTTGGGAGGGTGATGAAAGGACAATTTTTTGTATTTTGGTAGTTTGTTGCTAGTACAAAAGCAGTAATATACAAACTATGTCAGGACCAAAAAAATTGAGTCAAATTAAGTTTTTCTGTGCTGAATGATACTTGCATGGTTGAAAGTATTTCATTTTCTCTGAAACACACTGGGTATTTCCTCAATCATGTAATGGGCTTTTTTTTTCCCCCTACAAAGTATGGTATATATTTAAAAGTGTATGCAGCACTGTATTTCTTAAGGTTATATTGTTGTTTGACATTTCACTGATCTTTGTATTAGTCTTAACAACATAATTAGCATTTTATGTTATTTTAACAATTTTTGGATATCCATAACATAATGAAAGTAAATCAATTTCTTGCAGCATAGTAGCTGTATTATGTAAAAGGATTGGTTGTTCTTTATCTGCATGTATTATGATTTTACCTGAGGAAACTTAGAAAAGACAGGAATGTTAGAAAAGTGCATTGTAAGATAAAGGTTTTATATGATAAATCCATTGTAATCTGTTAAAACAAAGGGATTCAGGTCAAATGAGAAACCTGAAAATCATATTTCTCCTTCCTGCATTTTCACTTTTAAAAAGAAAGGGATATTTATTGTCCTGTCAAGTGTATCAAACACAGCAGTAACTTTTCAAATGCTGTCATTTTTATTATTATAATTTGTGCTTAGCTAATTTTGTTTTTCTCTTTCGTTGTGCTGAACAGCACTTTAGCAATTTTATAATGCATGTGTGCCTCTAATAATGATAATCTGTACTGCCAAGATGTGTGTGAATGGGAGTTAAACATTTCTATAGATCACTTGCCTTCATTGTATTTGCAGTATACACAAAAGTAAAACAGAGCAGTTCTTTCCTCAAAATTACTTACCTTGCATCTAATTTTGCCCTATAGGTTAAAAAACCCCAAACAACACAACAAATGAGCTAACGAAAACCAACTCAAACAAATGACTTTTCTTGAGAAGCTCTATTTTAATGTATGTTTCACAAACATAGCACAGAATGAGGAGCAAAGTTTATTTTCTCTACAACTTTGTATCACCTGAAAGTTTTATATCTCAGATTTTTAAGTCTTTCCATCACTGATGGCATTATAAAATATTGGTATAGTGTATTTTGGGTTTTTGAATTAGTTTACTTCGCTTGTTTCTTAAATGGCAATCCAGAGAAGAGTTAAAGGAGCACATGGAAAACTACAGAACTGCTACCACCCTTTTGTTTTTATTTCGTGATCAAGTATTCAAAGCCAGACATCAGCTGAGTGGCCATCAAAAATCCATCATGAGGAAACAGCAAACCCACAAATGAAAGAGAGGAAGAGAAGAAGCCTGAAGATAATCCTGTGTTTTTCGACACAAAAGCAACTTGAAAGAAGGATTCAAGCTAATTTAAATGCAGTATGTACAGTAGATATGATCTGTATTATAGCAAAACTTGCTATTTTGTTTCTTAATGGCAGAATATTTGGTGATTTGGCACATTTATTTATTTGCTGATTTACTTACATATTTTTATACAAAAGTTGCTCTTAGATAGCCTGAACAAAAATTAAAATAGCTGCCTCCTACTTGGTTTGTGATAGTCTTTGGAATAAATTAAGCATGTACTGATCAAAAGGTGCAGCTAAGGTTTTCTGCTTTAGTTTTTTAAAGGGAATAACAAAGTACAGCCACTGAAAGACGTTCTTTCAGGAGCCAAGGGAAATGCTGTGAGACTTCTTGGAATTCTGCAAGTTAACTAGGTGAAGAAATAGTTTCCTTTGAGTCATAGCTGCATTTTTAAGAGGAATATTAACTAAAGCACCAATTTTATCAGTTAGTATAAAATTCTACTTGTCTGCACTTGTAAGAGTTAACACCAAGACTGACCTCAAGTGCATCCTTTTATCCAAAGAGATTTTGAGAAGGCGTTTGATGCTCTCCTGTTACTCAGAAGTCTTTTTCTTCGATAAAGAAGATAGTAAATCTCTAGCAGCCACCTGTCCATGAGTTGAGACTACAAAATGTTCTGATAGCTTTTCTAATATTCAGGTAGAGAAGCTTGGGTACATCTTTCTCTAGGTTTCGTCTAAATATGTGCTTTTGGCTTGGGGTGTTTTCTCTTTTTATTGTTGTTTATGGCCATACATGTCTGTTACATTGTCAGAAAACATTTTTGCAATAGTTTAATTAGAGAAATCACTTTCTTACTTTCACAGTTGTGTATCATAAATTAATTCAAATAGTCAAAGGTTTTTTTCTCCAAAGGCTTCTTTATCCCTTTTTATAGAACTTAAATAATTGTCTATACTGAATCCAGCTTTCCTCATTTCAAGCTGTTATTGTTCATGTGAAAATAAGTAAACACATGTTTTAGTAGCTCTCTGAAACTGGTATAATAAAAATAAATCAAAAATGGAATTTGTATTCAATTAGTCAAAGGTCTAATTGCTCAAAGTGAGCTAGAGCATTTTTGTTAGTAAGTAGGGAGCAGACCAATGTGCTTATGATGTACCTTTGCACACAGGCATCTGTCTTCTGGCTTTTTTAAAATCAAGTAGTCAGTTAATAAAACTTGTCCGTTTGAAGTGGCAGAAGGATAATGTTGCATCATTAAAACAGTTACTTGTGAACCAGAGGAGTATGACGATCCAAATTTGATCTGAGGTTACATATGAAATGTGACATCTGATGTGTGCACTACAGCTCTGTTTTGAAAGAAAAATCAGTATTTATGGGCTGGGTCTCTGGACCTCTTCCTGGAACCGTGAAGATTAAGAACTTACTTTAACTTTTCATACCTACTTCTGACTCGAGCTTTGCTTGACTTTTGTACAGCAAAACAAACTTCATGCCAACTATTCCTTTCCTGCAGCCCCCTGAGGTGCAAACTTGTAAAACTGGCACTAGCCGTAGTCCCAGCCTGCAGCTGTCTTGTAATTCTTTCCTCTAAAGACCCTGTCCCCTCAGCAGAACAGGATCTGTTGGGAATCACAGCCAGCTCAGTGGTGTGTCCTGCAGCACAGATGGAATAGCTGATGGCAGAAGGGTGTAAGGATAACCCTGCTGTGCTGTCTGTGACTCTGAGAGCATGGGCTGTGACCTGCACAGAGCTTCAGAGTGCCAGAGCAAGCTGCCTCGTTTTCTTTTAGTCCCATAATTGTCTCTCGTTATGCTCAGATTAACAGAGAAACACATGGGAAATATATCTCGGAGTCTATGGATACTGTAAAACCTCAAGGAATTCCTTTTAACAGAGAGATCTGCTGTCAGGGGGTTACCTGCTAAGTGTTGGAAGTGGGACCTGGAAATCCAGCTGTTTTCCGGGCCATCCTGTAGCTGTAGCGCTTTGTTTGTTTTCCTCCAGGAGGGGGCAGCAGATGAACAACATCAGGGGCTGTTTTTAACTTTTCAAATGCTTTTCAAGTGTCCCTCTCTGCCTGAGGATCCCAGCAGGGGCTCCATACCGATGGGAGAATTTAAAATTATGATTCCTACCCGTTTGCTACAAGGATAGCTGGAATACGTGACGGGAAAGTCTTCATTCTTTTCAGTATTAAGCAGAAGAATTTATTTAGTAAAATCTATCTCAAGTTTATGAGAAGGGCAATTCTGGATTGAAACTTAAGATTTTTATGACTCTGGCATTAGCTGTGTGTATATTTTAAAGGATAAGATAACCAAGCAACCCAACCCTACAAGCTTATTAGTTAACGTCACCTAAGTCTTGCTGAATGTCTTTCAAATACTTATTTTCTATATTTCAAGTAGCATATTACAATTCAAAATAATGTTCTCACAGCCGCTTTTCTCCTATCAAAAAATAAAACTGAGAATACACTAAATCTAGTAATGCTTTTCATTCATGTGTAATTACTGTGTTCATGTACGAGGATGGCTTGTGCATTCTGCTGACAGAGCATGGGAGTTAAAGGCCTCAATTCCCAGCAGTGCTAGTGGTGCTAAACAATATAACCAAAATTTATTGCCTTATTTCAGCCACAAAGTGGCATCTAAAACTTTATGGAGGTCGACCATATTACTGATTGCACGTATACTGGAGTCTTCTTTAAAACTGTAGGAAAATAGTGATTATTACCATTGTGAATTTCTTGAAAGTGTGTGGCTGTTTAAGTTACAGATCAAGTAGTTAACAAAAAGCCATGGAGAGAGGGCAGTCCAGACATTTTAGCTGCTGAGTTTTATCCTGTAATTTATATAAAGAAAGGAAAATCATAGTGGCTTCTGAGATTATCAGCTGCCATAAATCAAAGTTCAGAAGCTAACTGGGAAGAATGAAACTAATTCCTAACAGGACCAATTCACCGATAGACTTGCCTTGATGATTTTCATTAAAATTGTGTTGTAATGTATGTGGGACCTTTATGGAGCCTAAAACTTTATCAAGTGATGTGACTATTTTTTTCTTTTGTGGTGATTTTTCTCTTTAAAGATTACAAATGTTTAAGAGAAGAAGAGGAAATAATTTTAACGATTTATTCAGAATGGCACAACTTGTTTTTCAGAGTTGGCTTTCATCTTGAATACCACTGTTCAGATTTTTCCATATAGGCCCCATGGCTCTACTGAGGTCACTGATTTAGCACCTTCTATGCATCAAACACTTCAACAATTCCCCTGAGTATTTAAGTTCCCTCCTGCAAGTTCAGGGCTTTTATTCTTTGAGCAATGTAAGCTTTATTTTTCTAGTGCAGGAAAGATCCACACAAATAACTGAGGATTAAATTCCCTTTTGCTTCTTTCTTATTTTGAATACTGTTGCATAAAACAACAATTGTATAATTTACTTTTGCTTTGTGCAGTAATTAGCAGGAAGACTTTTACCAGTAGAAGGCTTGAGTATTGTATAAATTGATTCCATAATATTCTAAAATACTTCATTTTCATAATAGCTGGACTTGAATTGCCTTCACAAATATGTCGTGAAAATCGTTCTGATTTCCTTATAGAGTGTTTAAAGAATGAGTAATCCTGTTAATTACATCTAATATATCAATGTACTACATGTATTTGGGAATAGTATTTACTCAGTTATTAATTATTTACACTGTGTTTTGAAAGGATGTTGTTTCCTTTGATGCTGAGTGCTGGTCAATAATCTGGATAGACGTGTAAGCACTTGACCTGCTATAGTTGGTTTTCATAGGACAAGAATTTTAAACGTCTATGCTTGTATTTCTCTCTTTGAAATTATTGTATGTTAAAGATGTGACTTTACAGCACTAAAGACTTGTGTTTGAATTTGTGAAGAGCCAGTGCTTCCTCTGTTGTTCCAGAGATATACTAAGCATGGTGAGGGGGATAATCCAGAAAATCAAGGAATTTGGGATAGCAGATCTGTATTCTGCATCTGCCTTTTCAAATGTCTTACCATTTTCCTTCCTTGGAATCTTCGTATATTAGCACATATTTAATTTTCATATGGAGTTTTTTTCCCCCTTTTAAATAAATTCCACTTGCAGGCCTGAAAGACTAACAGGTCATATAGCAGAGACAAAAATTTCTAGAAAATTTTGGTGGACTATTCAAACCTCAAAATAGAACAGCCCAATATGATAAGGTTGCATTATGCACTATTGGCTGCTAGGAAATTAATTCAACACAGCAAACAATGTCATTTTGGGAATACAAATAAATAATTGAAAGATAATACACTAGAAACTGAAGTATTTCATTGGAAGCAGGTCTGATAGGAATCTTTGTGCTCTTATCTTTCCCATAGTGGTATCAGTCTTTCCTAACTAATAGCTTTAAATACTCATGATAAAAGGCATTAAAAGCCTAAATTAACACTAACTGAGAAACGTAATCCCTTCAGACCACTTGCACAGGAAGAATAGATTATGATTTTCCAGCTGTGACAAGGTTCATTTCCTTTCTGACAGGAAGCATTCTTACAGTTAGCTCTGCAGAAACACATGGGAATACATGCTGGCTTCAAAACCCTTCATTGCCAGCACTGGGAGCAGGGAACAAGGTCTTTCTGACCCAGCAGGTGCAAACACATACAGGTGGATTGCATGGATGTCCTTTTTATGTTACCACTTATATAAATTCTCAGGGAGGGGAAAAAAAAGTTCTCTAAAGTTGAGTATTGAGTGCTGTGTAGGAGTGATTATTTTGTGACATGAAAAGGATTTCTAGAGGAAAAGGGGTATTTTTTTCCTACTAGTAGTTTTCTCTCTTACGTTGAATATACAAAAACCAAACACTGTGATCCTGATTTAACAAAACAGGTAGTTTTTTAACTGATGGGGGTTTTTATGGTGATTAGGGATATTGATCTCTAAGGATATGTTTGATCCTGGTTTAGAATTTGTGTTCAGAAGATACCTATGTAAAGATATAAATACTGCAAAGACAAGGACTGCTTATATTCCTGGCTTGTTAGCTGAAAAGGTGTCTTTGGTAGTTCAGAGGGATGTGGGCTTTAACCACAGCATGTTTTTCTCTTCTGGTACTCCATGGCCAGATTAAAAATAGGAATGTCTTCTCAAAACTTTTGAAATCAACCTGCACCTATAGGCATATTAGAAGATTTTCAATATCATAGAG